TCGAAATAGGTTCTATAGATAATTTGATATTATGATATAAGTTGAAGTATGATCAAATAGTATAGAAAGATAGAGCTTTTTTTTCTCTATCAAACTATATATAAGGAAAGTTTCTTTGAGCGCACTATAAGGGAATAAAGTGTCACTGCCACTACTTTTGGTATGCCCTAAGTATATTATATAAAATGATTTTGTTCAATAAAATAATTAAGATAAATATGATTTAATAAATCAATTGTTCGTTATGAATAATTTCATTTTATATCATATTGATAATCTAAATCATTTATTTGTTATATTTTAAACAATAATAAATTGAATATTGATTTAATTGAAATAAATTTTTATTTAATAATGTTTGAATTTTATATGATTGATTTACTGTAATATAAATTCTCAATAACCAATGAAGACGATTATCAGTTGAATATGGTTAACAGATCATTATTTAACATTATTTATTGTTCTCTTATATGATGATGATTGAGTTAAAACTATTAAAAAAATCGTTCTCTTCTTCGATATAATATATAGAAGTTCAGATGTTTTATTATTTTGAAATTCTACAAAAATTTCTTCTCTATTATTATTAGATTTTTTTTTTTTGATTTTTTAAATGGTGGAAAATGTTTTTTTTTTATGTTCATCATTAAATTGTTTATCATAATTATTTATCGTAATTTCAATTGGTAAATATATATAATTATAAATAAAATCAATTAAAAAATAATTAAATGAATATATTAACCAAATTAGTTCTGTATTTAAAATTAATTTAATTAAATTATCTTTGTTTCAATATTCATTTAATAATAAAAATGGTGTTAGATGAACGATTTATATCATATAAAGATTTCGATATAAATATAAATAATTCATTTAGATAAATATTTATTGAAAATAAATATATTAATAAACTAATCAATAATAACAATAATAGTAAGTTGAATTTGTTTCTCATAGAATTATTGTTGATGTTTCTATTTGGATTTGTATTTGCCTTGTTGTTGATGATGATAATTTTGATTTATTTAATAAACGCTTCGTTTATGTAATTTTCTCGGATAATTATTTGGTGAATTTGTTATAGGTGGACTGTTCTATTATAGATGATCTATGTCAACAATAGCCAATCGTTTATTAATTAATTATGAGAAAATTTCGTTTGTTGTTATATGAATATGTAAATAAATATTATTTTTAGAAATAATACCTATTGAATTGATTGATAATTCTCAGTTCTATTTAATAATATATTCAATAAATAATAAACGATTATAATAAATAGTTGTTTCATTTGATGAATTTATTCTGAATACTCTTTGTTAGATAAATCAACAATGATTATAAATAATGATTGTTGTTTATCAATTATTAATATATAATTTGAAATAAAATAATGTTGAAAAAACATTGTGTTAACAAATCGAGGTCACCATTAATGATATGAGAACATAATTATAATAGACGTTTTGTCATATAAATTATTTGTAGATGACAAATAGGAAATGTATAAAAAAAAATTTTAAAAGCATCATTCAAATAAATAAATGAAGAACATATAGACAATCTAAACAAAAACAAATTTAAATAGGAATTTTCTTTTATAATGTAAGGTATCGACTATTTGAGAAATTGAGTAAAATCGTTTCTCGTTATAGTAGGGGATAGAGATCGTTGAGTTAACTCTGAAAATGTTTTTTTTTTTTTTTATAATAAAACTTAGATTTGAAAAGAAAAAGCCTATAAAAATTGCAATAGACTAAAAGAATCGCGTCTCGGCAGCTCTCTGTTTTTTGACCAAAAAACTCAATTTCGAGTTGAATATAAACGTCTGATAACTTCAAGTGCAATGTGCAATTCGAGACATGATCCGACTCAAAACATCTCAATTTTGTAGAGTTACTAAATTAAAGAAATTCTCTTGTTTGACTTTCGAGATAACTATTCAAACTGATATCCACCATTTGAGCTCATATTGGCTTCACATCGGAAGTTTCGATAAATACCGTTGAGTTGGATCGAAAGTTTATTAAAACTGTCATAACTAGGCTCGGAATGACCATGGGAATAAACTCTCTTTGGCTTTTTCTAGTCTTAACAGAGACCTCCTTGTCAACTCAATATAAACGCAAACGGCGGGCATTACTTCGGCTAGGCTAGTTTCCTTGTTGACGTAACACAAAACGGCAGTTTCCTCAATTCTGGCTGTTTCGAGCCATCAAATCTTTATCAGAGATATTTAGAAGCATTCTCTAGAGATAAAATCGTCTGTTTTCGTTTTCTAGGTGGTCTATCTCTAATAAAAACGTTCAAACTAATCGATTGTATCCGTTTCCAATAATGAGAAATGATCAGAAAATATGGACATACTCTTTATTGAAGATGTAGAGAGTTATATATTTTTTTTTTCGTACTCTATATTCTAATTAATATATTTTCATATGATATATTCAAAGAATAGAATATAATTATATTTTTATAATAAATGATGTTACCTGTCTGTTGGTTGTTGCATAATTCGCTGATAATGATGTTAATTTAATTGTTAATAAATCTGCTAATAATTTAAAATAATGACGTTGTTGGTTGTTGATCATAAATTTGAATATGATTCATTTTTAAAATATTTCTTCTATATTGATTTATTTGTCAATTACGATGATTTATTTCTATTTGTAATTGTATACATTCATAATAAATATATTCAATAAAATTTTTGTTTCAATATTATTTGTTGATGATGATAATAAATTAAATTATTTTTGTCGACAATAATGCATTATTTTGTATTAATCTTTCATAAATATCTTCAATTGATTTTAATTTTTTTTTTCATATTTATCATAATTTAATATATATGGATAACAAAAAAAAAATATCCAACTGGTAAACGTATTGATGATAGAGATATAATTTTATTGTCGAATTAATGTTACAGGTATATAACATCCTATAATAGGTGGTTGTAAATAATGTAAAAAACAAATGGTTGATTTGATAAATGTCTTGAAAAAAATAAACATTGACAATCAATATGTTCACTATATGATCAAAAATCTAAAGTTAATGATACTAATTGATTAGATGATCGGATTTATATATGAGTTAATGTAACTTGTTGTCCAAAATCTAAAATAAAATAACCTTCTATCAACACCTGATAAACGATCAATTATAAATTGATATTTATGGTAAATATTGTCCATGATGAATATTATTTGATATTTGTGTCAATATACAATAAATTGTTATTATTTGTTGTTGTCGTTAAAGATTTTCATAATCAATATGATTTAAATTATTTGTTAATAAACGGATCTGTTGATGATGATGTGTTGTTGATTGTTCTATTGTTAATGTTGATATTGATCTATATATAAGATCAGTAAATAAATTTGAATTTTTTTGTTAATATTGATGTGTTGTGTTCTAGCTGCTTTATTTTTTTGAATTAATTTAAATTTATCGTTTTTGTAAACTTTGTTTATGTTTAAGTATTGATGGTAAATCTGTCTAACCATGGTGATATGAAAATTAAATTATTATTTATTTGATTTTCAATTGTTGTTGTTGATATTGGAAACGATGAAACAATTGTTGATGTTCTAGAATTTGTTGGTCCTCTTGAATTTATTGATGTTGGTTACATCAATAAAGTCTATAATGATATCTATTTATATTTGATGTTGGAAATGAAAATCGATATCTATTTGTTGAATTAAATCTTTATATAGATGGTGGAAGTGGTGGTAGTGGTGGTGGCATTGAATTTGATCTTGTTCGATAATAAAGATGATCTGAACTAGTTGTAAGTGTAATATTAGGTGGTGGTGCATTTGTTGCGTTCATATGTAGGTAACGTTAATAAATGTGTTTATATGAAGACATTCAAGAGGTGTACGATCAGTTGATGAATGCATTCGAGAATTTAATGATGTTATTTCAAATAGATCTTACTTTCATTTTAAATAAAGATTTGATGATGAAACAAGAATTTGGTAAAAGTTTTTATAATGCATTGAGAATATTTGTTTATGAATATAATCTATCAG